GCGGCCTATAGACCTTGACAAGATACACGCTACATTAGGAAAGAAATTACAAGGCGGCGAGGCACTTAGCCAAACGTGGCTCCTCAAAAGGGCCTTTGTTAGTAACCTCAGCAGCAGCACCACCAACAACGACCAGAATGGCCGGCTCTAGGGTTGGGTGTGTGTACAGATAATATAGAATTGTTATCTGTAGTTTGTGGTATATTGACAGTTTTTGATAGAATAGTAGAAAATTCTGTATATAAAAAATGTATTATTTTCAAACCTTTGTTAAGCTTTGCCTCCACAAGTATTTATATTATTGAGGTTTCCTCTCACCCTTTTAATTTTCCTGCATTAATTATTTTAATTACCTACAACATTAGAATAATACTACAATATAGGAATAGTAGAAAAATTACTACCTGTACGAATAGTCGTTTTTTGATCCCAAGGCAAAGACTCCTTACGAAATATGTTTTTTTTTTCAATAAAAAGGGACCCTCCTGTGCCGGAAACACTACGACCTACAAGGCCTATTGTGCTTGTTCCCTTTCTATGTCTGCACCCACTTTCCTATTCCTGTACTAGAGGTGGGAATTCTAGTTCTTTGGGAGGAACTAGTTCCTTAGTTCTAATTCCTTGAACTATGTCTCTAGTTCACATTAGTTACTAACATTGGCATTCCGGTTGCTTGCTCATGAGTTTCGTTATAAGTCGGAATTATGCATAGTATGATCTGTATAATTTTTGTCATGTACAAAATATTACGAGACATGAAATTGCGTGTATTAAAAACATATAGGTAAGTTTTATTGCATATGAAAACAAAAATTTAAAAAAGAAACTCAAATCAGTCAAGCTCAATATAATATTGACACATTCAAAACAGTAATAACGACAATTTTCTATGGTAATTACGCCGGCCGCGGCCATAGATAAAGCCGGATCCGTCGTCGTCGCCTTGTATTACATCTCGGACTGCGGACCGAATAGATCTCTGCGAACTAATCTTTTAATTTGTTCCTCTCGGTCCTTTCGGTCTGGGACCGGCAACATACGGCATAGTATCATCAGAGTACCTAAACCGACGAGTAGCGACAGTCCCGTTTTCAATTTTCTTTGCGGCTGCGCGAAATAAGTAGGTTATCTGTCATACGAAGAAGCGAAGTTGCCACTGTTGCCATTTATCAAATATCTCTATATACTTTATTTCAAGTATACCTCAGGCAACGAATCGTTTTTTTAATTATTTATTAGCAGTTAGATATTTTATACATTCAAATTTAGAAATAAGGATAAAACAAAACAAAAAAGATATGTATAAAACTTTATAATTAATTCCGTTTCAAATTGTGAGCAGTGTATACCATGTTTATAGGACCACTTCATAAGTTGAGCAGTTAAATACGTAGTCTATCTGTCAAACATGTCAAAAGAGAGAGAAAGAAAATTTGGTCCCACCACATCAAAAGAGCCGACGGTTTCTGTCGCTACTCGGCGATCTACATACTCTGGTATCAAGCTACAATCGCGCTGGCCGATCCGATTATTTTATCTCCGTCCTCGGAGCTGTAGTGCGAATAGGTCCTGAGGAACTAGTCTTTGAAGAAACGGGGAACTACTTCCTTTCCTTCCAGGGTCGGAATAGTTTACTGGAACTAGTTCGTTCACGAACTACACACCTCTACCCTGTACCCTAGCTATACCTACTTGTGCAGGTCGCTGATAGGATGAAAGTATAGTTCTTCCAGCTCTAGCTTTGCTTTCCCAAATAGAAAGTGTCGCTTGCGATCCGTTGCTTTGTAGTGACATATTATGTTCTCCGATGTTTTAGGATCTGTATCGCGAAGTCTGCAGCAAAGCCTTCCTTGATACAAGTTGAGCTTGTTTCAGTCAAATGGTTCGGATTGGTATGGTAAAAAGTTAGACACAGTACAAGGTTCCTCAAAAGAGCACCAAGAGGCGGTTTTTGGAAATTTAACCCCTCAAAAATTTGTTCTAGGAGTATGATATATTGTACAGGTTCCTTAAGTGGGGACTAAGTAATCAGTTTTGGGAATTTATCTCTTAAGAGGAGAAATTCAGGCATGACAGTTAATATAATTTTTTCTAGGGGCGTGAAATTCTGTGCAGAAGTTCCATTGAACACTGAGCTAACACACGTAAGTGAAAGAAAGAAAGGTAAGATTTAAGTGGTTATAAGAAGAGGTTTTTGAAAATTCATCCGCTAAAGGGAAAACATTAGGGGAAAAATTTGTTTAAAAGAAATAAACATCCGTTCTATATAAAATTTTGCCCAAAAGTTTTTAAAGTGCACTATGTATGTTTGTATTCTTAAGTTTCTTCTAGAAGTATAAAACTTTGCGCAAAGGTCCCTTCATTAATAAGAATGAGCTAAGAAGCAATTTTTGAAAGTGCATCCCCATACCATAAAAGGGCAAAATTGAAGATAAATAGTTGTATGAAAATTCGGTATTCGTTGGCCCAGAAGTACCAAATTTGACACAAAGATTCTTTAAACGCCATAAATAAATATAAAGGAAACGTACAACTCTTTAAACATGAGCTTTAACGAGGGCGAAGTCGCGGGCAAATATTAGTTGTGATCTTAATAAATACATAAACCAGTTACAAATATGAATAATATTTAGTATATTATTGTATTATTATATTTATTTTGTTTTTCTATAAAATTGTATATATAGTTTAAAAAAATGAAAAGAGTTGGATTATGAAAAAGTTACGACGGTTAAACGGCATTTCGCTGGTAATAGTATTCCCGCTGTAGAACATAGATATGTTCGCAGTTCCGAAAAAAAACAGTTTAAAGAATAAACCAGGTGTGAAACTAAGGGCATGGTATGAAGCACATGGAATTGTGAAGACAAAAATAATTGAACAAGAAGAAAACAACAATGACTTGAATATTATTTTATGTTGAAGAAAAGTTATATTTCATGTTGAAGAAAAGAAAAACATTGACTCTAGTCTATTGGGGATACAGTAGGAAAAGACCACAGGATCTTTCGCGGAACGACTTCTTCCCACAGGAAGTGTAATATGTCATAAATATGTCTTCTATGGACATATTAAATACAGAAATTTAAATGACTGAAAACGACATCTCTGTGGAAAGCTAAAGTTTCTCCCCGTAACAATTTTGTATTGTGAGCCGTGAATTGTATAATAATTTGGGGTATTGTTTGGCTGTGAATGGGGAATTATGTAAAAGTTTTATTAATTAGTTTAGTTGTTTAATAAACTTCCTTTGGTTAGAAATATTTCGACTATTTCTTAAATTATTGTTGATGTATGTGGTATGAGCGAGGCCTGCGAGTGATCAAGTAATGAACAGTCATACACCGCGAATACTAATCTCAGTTATTTTGTAGATGATCATTCCAATTCAGAAAAAAAAATAAGCAATCTTTCCAATACACCACGTAAATTCTTGTAAACAGAAAATAATGTGACATCGAATTTGACAATGATAAAATAATATTTTTGCTGGTACTTCAATTATTGTAGCTTTTCTTGGCCGTATAATAAATTGTTATTAATTTGAAGGTAGATTTTTGCAAATAACTTTTAGATGCCTATACCAAATAATACGAAATTCTAGATGAAAGTATAACTTTAACGCCTCTTCAAAAAAGTCTAATACAATTTTTGCATAAAATAATCTGGGGAGATATTATTTGTCCTTTTCAAAATTTTCACGGGATTTCCTATGTGCCGTGTTCCGATGCACCACACGGTATAGTATTTATGTCTAAGAGATATTCCCAACCCTGCCTGTTGATCGTCGGCGTGTCCTATTGATCTTCCTGCGATGTTGCCTGAAAGCATACACTCATATATCGCCAGTTAATTAAAAATCGCCAAACTAATCGGCGTTTTATGTCTTGTAACGGCCATCGGCCGCGTGAAAGAATTGCCTCGCTGAAATCAATTTTACGAAACGCTTTAAAAGGGACAAAAAAATCGTATTATGGCTTCCCAGAACTAAAAGGATAGAGCCTAACATCGATTGTTGTATGATAACATGTGTAATATTTTATGCAACACTATCTGACCCGGCTTCTTCTTCAACTCCGTACCGCCTAGCATTGAAATGAAGTTAGGTATGAACTTTTGTGTGAAGTGAAGTTTTTTTTTTGCCGCTCTTATGGTATGTGGTATGGATGACTGTAATACGACTATAGAACGAATATAGTGAATATATTTAAGAATATCGGAAGTGCATCAGACTGCGGAAATTACTGGGGAATTTCATTATTGGCTATCGGAGGAAAAATTCTTACAAAAATTATGTCAAACCGCCTGCACTCACATATAGAAAAAATTCTTCCAGAATCGCAAACGGGTTTTCGCACCAACCGTGGCACCGTCGATTCCATATTTTCCATCCGCCAACTACAGGAAAAAGTAAAAGAGCAGCAGTCTAAAGTTTATGTTGCATTCATCGACGTAACAAAAGCCTTCGACTCTCTGTGAACGGGGATGCACTTTGGGCAATTGTGAAAAAGTTCGGAGTACCCAACAAATTTCTTACAGTGTGTAAAAGCCTCCATAACAACAACAAGTCAAGAGTGTTACATCATGGATCATTGAGCGATCCCTTCCTAACAAATACAGGAGTTAGGCAGGGATGTGTTTTAGCGCCTCTCCTATTCAACATATTCATGGCAGCGCTCTCCATTATAGTGGACAGCAAACTGCAGGAGAGAGGATTGGGCATTAGATACAGATACGATAGCCGGCGGTCTATTCAGCATAAAAAGACTCAGGGTAAAAACACGTACAAAATTCATCACAGAACTTCAATACGCTGACGACTGCGCTCTAGTTGCAAACACATTACAACAATTACAAGAAATGTAGTAGTTCAGGCTTTCGCGGCCATAGTTTGAAGAATTTTGTTTTTTCGGGTTATGCCGTCGTCGGTTAGAATTGCTTCCTAACGTTTCGCTAGCACGAGTGGTTAGCCTCTTCAGAGGTGTGTTTGCTCCGACTGCTCACACTAGACTGATGCCTCCGCGTCGGCGTAGCGCGTATTTATGCGTCGGCGGAGGGGGCGTGGCTTGTTCGGGTGGTAGTTCTTCCGGAACTGGTCTACTCCTCGGTGCTGCTACTTTGGTCCTAGATATAGCTGGATGCCAAATTCTGTTAAGGTAGAAAGTTTCTTCCTTTCTGTTGAACTTATTTGGATGTTTGTGAATTTCAAGAGCTTCCCTGGCCAGACGAGGATGATATCCAGATATTGTGGCAATGACTTGGGTGTCTTCGAATTGGATTTTGTGGTCACCATCTCTTATAGCATGTTCTGCTACGGCTGACTTCTCTGTTTACCCTAATCTGCAGTTTCTCTTGTGTTCCGTAAGTCTCGTTCCTACTGAGCGTTTGGTAGTTCCAATATATACGCTACCGCAGGAACAAGGTATACGGTAGATCCCTGCAGAGGATAATGGTTCTCTTTTGTCTTTGGCTGGTCTTAGGCAGTCCCTTATTTTCCGGGTAGGTTTGTATATGGTTTTGATGTTATGTTTCTTGAGAACTTTACCAATCCTATCGGTGACCTGGGAAACATATGGAAGGAAGGCCTTATTAATGATGTTTTCCTGTTCATTGACGTCTGGTCTCCTCTGCCTAGGTGCCAGCGCCGCCTTTATTTCTCTGTCATTATAGCCATTGGCAAGAAAGGCTTTATTTAAAAGACTTGGTTCCTCTTGGATATGTTCATTATCACAGATACGTCTTGCCCTATTTGCTAATGTTCCGATAATCCCCTGTTTTTGGCTTGGATGGTGATTTGATAGTTTGTGTAAGTACCGGTCTGTATGAGTGGGTTTTCGATACACCGTGTGATCCAAAAGGTCGCCATTTCTCTTGACAAGCACATCGAGGAAGGCCAGTTGGTTGTTTACTTCGGTTTCCATAGTAAATTTTATGCTCGGGCTCTGCGAATTAAGGTGATGAAGGAAGTCATCTAGGCTGTCACGTCCATGTTTCCAAACCACAAATGTATCGTCCACATAACGAAACCATACAGCGGGCTTCAGAACGGATGACTCTAGCGCTTTTTCTTCAAATCTCTCCATAAAGAAATTAGCAATTATTGGGCTGATTGGGCTACCCATTGCGACACCTTCTGTTTGTTCGTAATAATTGCCGTTCCATAAGAAATAGCTACCAGTCAGACACACTCGGAAGAGCTCTGCGATCTCAGGTGGGAATGATTCCTTGATTAGATCCATTGACTCGCCTAAAAGGTACTCTCGTGAATAGAGATACCACATCGAAGCTTACCATGATGTCAGATGGTTCCAGTTTTATATCTTTTAGCTTTTGGACGAAATGCGTTGAGTCCTTCACATAAGAGTTTGTGTTGCCGACTTTCGGTTGTAGAATCGTAGTCAAGTATTTAGCTAAGTTGTAAGTAGGCGATCCTGGAGCACTCACTATCGGTCTAAGTGGGACACTAGCTTTATGAATTTTTGGTAGTCCATAAAGGCGTGGTGGTTGAGCTTCCGAGTTAATTAATTTTGATTTCAGATGTTCCGGGAGTGAGGAGGCCTTGATGAGTCTGTTGGTGTTTCTGACAATTAAGGCAGTAGGATCCTTCTTCAGTAACTTATAAGTCTGAGGCTCCAGTAGATCCTCGATTTTTGACCTATAATCCTCAGACTTCATTACTACCGTAGAATTCCCCTTGTCTGCCGGTAAGACCAGAATGTCCTTGTCAGCATTCAGCGATTTTAGAGCCTGGTGTTCTTCCCTAGACAGATTACTTTTTGGAACCTTAGCAGTTCTCAATATGTTGGCCGTTTCAAATCGGATTTCGTCTGCGATACTGTTAGGAAGGTTACGTATGGCAACTTCTGTTCCGGCAATAATGTCAAAATTGGCCTGCCAAAATTGGAAAAATGGTAAAAAAATACATCTAGAAAGTCTGCTCCTCATATAAAGTCTGCGGTGTAAATAAACAATCGGTTTGTTTACATTTTGCTTGAATATGTTGAGTCAAAACAAATCAATGCAATATTTTTCTTCCGTGAATTTGTTCTTAATTAATTAAAATTGGTTAAGATTTTCAGTAGGTACTTACAGGTAAAACATAAAATAGAATACCCCTGTAAAGTGTTTTAGCAAATAAAATCGTGTTTATGTTCCCTTTTGTGTATTTCTTCTCCATCGTATCTTGATAATTGGAGGTATTTAAATTCCGAAATACTTTTAAGAGATACGAAGACCACGAGACACGGTAAGTCGCAAGTCGAATTAGCAATTCCTATTACAGGATAATTACGATAAGAAGAGCCCATTATACTGGCATTTCTAATCCACCATCTGTTTGTAATATTATTCAGTACGTGCCACAGAGAAAACCAGAGTTTCGAGCGGTGTTGCCATTTTTTCAAATTCGATTTCTACACAATTGATATGTGAAAAAATGAGAGATGCAAGGTGGTCCAAGTTCAAAAAAACTTAAAAGTATTTGTTTGCAACCACTCCCCTATCCATGTACAGATGACATCCATACCATTCCATTTATTTCACTAAAAAAAGTTTCTAATATTTTTTAAGTTAACTATAGATATAGATGTTTTGATTTATACAGGGTGTCCCAGAAATAAGTGCAAATATTTTAACTGGTAGTATAGTTCAACCCCAGAAACACGCCTATGAGGTTTTTTTCGCGAAAAAAAAAATTTGAAAATTCGAAATTTTTTGGAAATTTTTTTAGTTTTTAGTTAAAAAACATAATTTCTTGATAATATGGCAACATAGGTATTAGATTAAATTTACAAGAAAGAAAATCCAGAAAAGATCCAGTGGTTCTCAAAATTTTAGCAAAAAATCATTTTTTTTGGAAATTTTCAAATTAAAATAACTCCGTTATTTTGGATTTATTTGAAAACCGATAGAGAGAAACTATGTTTCTTTTATCGAGATCTACCACCCCTTAAAATATTTGCACTTATTTCTGGGACACCCTGTATATAAATCCGTCATGCGTCGTCTCTTGTTGTTATTAACCAGTTCTATTGGTTTATTTAAAAAACGTGACTTGAGGCTTGTCAAACTCTTGTCAAATTATAGGTTATAAATATTCTTTGGGTTATAATTTGTGTCAAATATTTGCGAATTGTCTTTGCATTTTGGTTCGTGTTATTACGTGTGTTTTGTGCTTTTTGAAGTTAAGTGGAGATAAAATCGAGCGAAAATTAACTGTAGACCCAGAGCACAGTTTATAGTTAACATTCAGTGACCAGAGACCTACCTACAATAGCCACCAATAAAGTTTGTATACCATCTGGTATATGGTACTAAACACTAGAGTAGCTGTAAAATAACGATATCACACTGATAATACCAAATAACAGGTTTTAGTACTCCAGAGAGATAATGTCAAAAGATACTGGTTTAAAAAATTAATTTTAAAGTTAATTAACTACCTTAAGTGTTATTGTTATTAAAATATTTTTTTTATTTATGTTATGTTTTATTTATTCCTTTACAATATAAAAAAAATATTTGTACATAAGTTATATTGATAAATATAATAATAAGTACAAGAAGTTTATTGAAGTTTAAAAGTAAGAAATAGTTATTTTTAATAATTTTTTGGTATATATTTACCTATTTTGGACCTATTTTGTTTAAAATACACTGTTGTTTGTTTTGCATAAAAATAACTAATGAATATTTGTTTTGTAATGCTGTTGATTGTTAATAGTGTAAAAGATTTAACGTCATCAATTTCAGATATCTGCTTAATATAATGTTAAGTGTATTAAAAAAAAACATTTAAGTAACTTCACGAAAATAAAAAAAAAAAACTTGCCTGTATAATGTAAGTTATTCTACCCCAATATTTTGTATATTTTAAATGCAACAAAACACAAACAACTTCTTCTAGGCTTAAATCTGGCAACACTGCTATCAGGAATCTACTAAATTCAAACATGGACATTTAGACAATTGAGAAAAACATCTCGCGCGGATAAAGGTAATGGAACACGCAGAAGACCCGTATTTTTTAAAACTCGAAGTGCTTCTTTATGTCGGCGTACTGAACAGCGAAAATGCTTGTAATTCCAAAATACGATATCTCGAGTTTCTCGGTAACAAGTTAATGTAAATTTAGTCTGGTTTTCCTTGATTTAAGTAAAAACAATCTTCGGATTGTCACGGGGTTTCTAACAGGACACTGTCTCCTCAACGAACACCTCAGTAGGCTGAAGCTGAGAAACAACGGCGAATGCAGATTCTGTGGGGAAAATGGGAAACACCCGAACACCTTATCACTGAGTGCGCCGAGACGACGACCATTCGCACCATAAACTTTGGTACGGCTGATGTCGAGGATGGAGAGCTGACCTCTGTGGAGCCGTCTCATATACTGGCTTTTGTTAAAGCCCTGAGACTGTATGATGAGTTATAACTCAAGAAAGGGGAACACACAATAGATCTGTAAGGTCGCGGTGATTAACTCCCCTCCTAAACATTCTACATTCTACATTGACTTGGTATCAGTGTAGCTTTATTTCCATTATTCTTTTACAAACAGTTATTAATAAAGAAGTCGGATTAGTTACACTATCTAGAACTCAAAACTGACTAGGCCGATTTTAATGACCTACGATTTTTTGGATTTGACTTCGTCTACTTCATTCTCAGCTTATTCAACCATTTCTAAATATGGTTTAGCCTCCCTTACATATTTAGATACTCTCTTTGTTTTTGGGCCCATTGTTGTCTATTGCTGGCTATGCAGGCCCAAGTTATCTCTGCTAATTTTATTAATACCATGGCCCCATCTCAAATTGGTTCTTCCTCCTTCCTCTAGGTCTCTTAATTCCTCGTGGGTACCTTGCTGTAACTTTTGTGGTCCATCTGTCCAGGTGTCCTGCGCATTGCCACTTGAGGGATTTGATTCTATGGATGATATCTATTACCTGAGTCTTTTGTCATATCCACTCTATTTTTTGCGGTCTTTGTTCGTTACTCCCAGCACATTTCGTTTCATTGAGCGTTGTGCGACCTGCAGTTTCCTTATAATGTCCGTTTTAAGGTTAATTCTCACTATACCTTCCGTTTCCATTCCATATCCATTACATGTCCATTCCATATCCATTCCATATCCATTCTATATCCATTCCATATCCATTCCATATCCATTCCATATCCATTCCATATCCATTCCATATCCATTCCATATCCATTCCATATCCATTCCATATCCATTCCATATCCATTCCATATCCATTCCATATCCATTCCATATCCATTCCATATCCATTCCATATCCATTCCATATCCATTCCATATCCATTCCATATCCATTCCATATCCATTCCATATCCATTCCATATCCATTCCATATCCATTCCATATCCATTCCATATCCATTCCATATCCATTCCATATCCATTCCATATCCATTCCATATCCATTCCATATCCATTCCATATCCATTCCATATCCATTCCATATCCATTCCATATCCATTCCATATCCATTCCATATCCATTCCATATCCATTCCATATCCATTCCATATCCATTCCATATCCATTCCATATCCATTCCATATCCATTCCATATCCATTCCATATCCATTCCATATCCATTCCATATCCATTCCATATCCATTCCATATCCATTCCATATCCATTCCATATCCATTCCATATCCATTCCATATCCATTCCATATCCATTCCATATCCATTCCATATCCATTCCATATCCATTCCATATCCATTCCATATCCATTCCATATCCATTCCATATCCATTCCATATCCATTCCATATCCATTCCATATCCATTCCATATCCATTCCATATCCATTCCATATCCATTCCATATCCATTCCATATCCATTCCATATCCATTCCATATCCATTCCATATCCATTCCATATCCATTCCATATCCATTCCATATCCATTCCATATCCATTCCATATCCATTCCATATCCATTCCATATCCATTCCATATCCATTCCATATCCATTCCATATCCATTCCATATCCATTCCATATCCATTCCATATCCATTCCATATCCATTCCATATCCATTCCATATCCATTCCATATCCATTCCATATCCATTCCATATCCATTCCATATCC